GGCCAAGACAATATAAAACGATTTTACTATTTAGATCCATCCGACTTATTCGAAACATTATAATAATATGAGGGAAGCAGCGAAAATACCGTTCGTTGTTTACAGGACAAACAAAAACAAATATTTTTGGGGAACCATAATATAAGTAACTAGCTGACCCAGCGAACTTCGTACCGCCCTAAAAAAATAGGGGTTGTCCAGCGGACAAAATTGTGAATCTAAACCATTCTCAGATCCCCTTGAACACACACAAAAAATTTCATCAAAATCGGTCCAGTCGTTTAAGAGAAGTTCAGTGACATACACACTCACAGAAGAATTATATATATAAAGATAGGTAATTTTACTCGTAAGCATAAGCACATCTAGGAATGATAAATCTTCGGTCTCCACATTGAAGAACTCGTAGTAGGCTATGTCGCAGAAGCCGACCGGAAATGGCCCGTTGATGGCGCCATCTTGTAGCTCACTTCCGGTACCTGACGCCCCTGTAGAGCTCCCCGCTCGCTACTTACCGTTTGAATGTGGAACATTAGATATTCAGTAGGCAAAAGGAAAAAAAAGACATATAAGTACATGAACTATTAACTTTTTTCGCAACTACACAAAGAACACAAATGCTAAAAACATATTTTAGAATTTGTAGCTACTTACTTTTTTTTTATAGATAGGTCCGTTAGTTGACTCCACCCCACCTGATGTTAAGTGACAGTGAAGTCCAGATGCGAAGATAGCTGATACAGCAGTTCTAACTGCCACACCAGCCATCCTCACCCTGCCGGCCTGCATGTTGCTTCTTCACGCCTCTTTTAAACGATCCCAGATTGTGAGAAGGAGGGAACACGTCAGCGGCACTTAGTTAATCATCTCAGCCTATTAATGTCCACACTGCTGGGGCACAGGCCTTCCCTATGGATGGAATAGGGAGATTGGACCGTGACCCACCAGTGCGGGTTGGTGGGTGCTAACGACTGCAGATTCAGGGGGGAATGCAACGGCTTATCTTAGGGGATTGCTCCGAAGCACGGAGGAGCTGTAGATATTAAGTTTTTGGTCATCCATCCAATGACCCACCATTACGAAAGTTGCACGATCGCAGGAAGTTGGAAGACGGCGTAGAGCATACATCAGTACCCCTAGCACGAACCATTAACGAATTCGAATAGTTTGCAAACCGAAATGTCAATGTCAAATGTATGGAAACTTGAACAGCAGCGGCACAAAGTACGTAACGGGAACTAAAAATCAGTACACAATTGACAATGACGTTTCGGACTCGCAAACGATACGAATTCGATATTGGTTCGTACTAGGAGTACTGAGCACTAATGCCCTAAAATCTGCGTAAAAGTAGGGAGTAGCTGATGACGCCCCGACGACAGCCGATGGAGTGGCGAGGCGACATACACATGCTTCACCGAAGCATGTGTATGTCGCATGTGTATGTGTATGTCGCTTCACCGAAGCATGTGTATGTCGCCACCCTGTAGAGAAGAGCGGGAAACCGTCATGAAGGCGCGTCCGGATACGGACGTACAGTCCAGGAAATTAAGCATTTTGGCTCGCAATTTTTTCGTCCACCATTGATTAACTTGAAATTTTCACAAAAGGTAGGGAACAACTCAAGGATCATTTTCTACATCATGGCGCTGTACGCTAGAACTAGATTTTCATAAAAATAAACAGATATTATATAGGATGGGGGTATAAACTATCTTTACATAATTTCGGAAATAATCTTTTTATAAATATAATATAGATACTAGTGACAAGTATTATTAACTAAGGATTAAGTAAGGAACCTAGTTGTATTCTTATGTTGATAAATACTTATGGTCGCCTATACTGCATTTATTAAGGTACACAATCTTGGCAAAACTTTTTAACAAAATCAATTTTAGACTATTATAGACTGAAACCTATTGAAACCAGTTATCAGTTGATCAATAAAAAGGAGTGCCAAGATTGTTTACCAAATAGGAAAAGTTAGTATGAACAGACTGTACTATCTAGTAACAGAACATTTATTTTTTATTTTTTTAAACAGATTGTCCGTTTACTATGATTAATTGCTAATAAATTTAAAAAAAAATAGTGAACGACATTCTTTTGGGCATGCTAGGGCCGATTTCGTCGATGTCCTTTTTGTACAAATCGGTGCTGGACGAAAAAATTGCGAGGTTTTACCATTTTATTAGTTTCATTTCCTGGACAAGTTGTGACGGCTTGTGGAATTATCGAAGACATTTCCGGGCAATTTCTTAAATTACACAATCCATCGATGGAGATGAAACACAGTGGGGTTTTAATCGGTAGGCCTGTGCCTGCCGACTAAGAGAAATGTCGCTTTGGTCTAGTGAGTGACTAGTGAGCGAGTATGCGTCATACATTACCCCACGTAAATAAAAAAAAATGGGTGCGTGTACTTATGTAGGCGCGTGAGAAGTTATCCTTCTTTGGCATCGTTTAAAATTATATTTTAATTGCATGCAAATAATTAACTACAATAAATTAATAAGAAGTCTGGAAAAGGACACATCAATAAAGTTCAGTTTTAATTTGAAAAAATAAATAAATAATCAAAATATTCAATTAAAATCGCTACTGAATATAATTTATTAGAACATATGTGATTTGCACTTGTATGAAACTCAAACACGTATTCCGAATATACAAACTAGAAACATGTGGATAAATATTATAAATATGAATACCTATAACTGTTACTTTATTACAAAAAAGGTTTTTGGTTCTACTACACCAATGGTCAAGAGATGGCGCTGTAGTCTCCTGAATCGCGCTTTGGTTCCGTTGTTCCAGATTAATAAATACTTTTGATAGGCCTTCATAATGCAGTCGTTAGCACCCACAAAATAGAGATTCTATTTCTATTTTGTTGGTAGATTTTCTTAATGTGCGGTAAACACAAAAGTAATGTTTTGTGTTACAGTGATGCGCGCGCATCTTAAAATTTCACTCTCATCATTTTTTCATAACGCGCCTAAAGAAGTATAACTTCAAAAAGGGTAGATTTACACGTGATTTGTACTGTGTGGTCCATACCTGTACGGTATCTGATGTGTCTAACTAAAGGCTTTGGTAATCGCTTACCGTCAGGCGTGCAATGTGTTTGTTAGCCATTTATTTTCCATACAAAAAATACAAAATGCAGCAAAATTTATTTGTAGCTTATGCCTCGCTCTTTTATATGAAAGGATATAAATAAATAAATGAATATTTCCAACACTCACACCAATTAGCCTAGCCACAAAGTAAGCACTGTTAGGCTTGTGTTATGGGATACTAGGGTAACGGATAGAATACATATATTGTACATATATAAGTATATTTATATAGAAATACATATTAAACATCCATGACTGGAGTACAAATGCTCATATTCATCACACAAACATCGGCCCCTACCGGGATTCGAACCCGGGACCTCGCGAGTCGGCGACACCATGACACCCGGCATATAAACCACTCGGCCACGGAGGTCGTCAAATATAAGATTCGAACCCGGGACCTCGCGAGTCGGCGTCACCATGAAACCCGGCCACGGAGGTCGTCAAATATAAGATGCCAGTAACAGAAAGTGCATCAGCCTTTTCTTCATTGTTCTCACTGCTGGAGCTCAGGCCTTCCCTTTGAACACAACAATAACAACGTAACGGACGGACGGGGGCCCACGAGAATAAATAAGTGCTAACGATTTACCTAACCTAACCTAAAATATACACCATTTGGGTTCAAACTTTTTTCGAAACTCCACAAAGAAACTTAGATTAAAACAAAAAGGGTAGATACGGTACACTCATACTTGCATCAAACAAAAACTGATCCCACTTTACTAGCATATATGCAACATTCACACATCCACCTGTTAGTAAAGATACAATCGAACGAACGAAACAGCAATTTAAGTTTCAACGGCAGCGCGAACGGGACGGCGAGATCCGCGTCACTGCATTACCGACCCGAGCGAAACAGCACGTTAAGTTTCAACGGCAGCGCGAACGAGACGGCGAGATCCGCGTCACTGCACTACCGACCAATCACGCGACCAGTACTCGACGTCACTACCGAATAAGATTCAAAACAAACAGCAATTAATATGAAAAAAAAAAATGTTATAGTACTTACGAATGAAAAGTGATGCCGTGGGTTTTATTTTTAGTTCTTGAGCAATTTGAGCACTTTTTAAAATAACACTTAGGCATTGTTTTATCATATAACCACAAAATATTAGCAATATTTCTTTTTGGCGTTCACATGTACGTCGTTTGCATGTCAAGTTGTGACTAAAGCGATTGTGGTCGTGGACCACAATTTATGCGGATCACTTTTTGTTTTAATCTAAGCAAAGAAAGGAGCGTAATCATTAGTAGCTACTTACTTACTAATTTACAGGGGCCTACGAGTATGAGTTGGTGCTAACGATTGCAGGTGCAGTCTGGAACAATAGCTTAAAGTCTTCAATGGGGCCCACATATTGATAAATTGTCAAATTGACTTAGCTCTGCAGCATATGCCGTAATGAAGATACGCCAGTTAACGGATGTAGATACGGCCAGATTAGTGTACTTAAGTTATTTCCATAGTGTAATGTCGTACGGAATTTTATTGTGGGGAAATGGCGCCGACATTCAAACTATTTTTGCGCTGCAGAAGAGAGCTATTCGATCAATTTACAATCTTAAAGTTAAAGAATCGTAAATGTTGTTACATTAGACTTTTAATGTTGAATTTATTTTCGCTCGTTTTTCTCCGCATCTAAAAAATATGTCCATAACGAGTTGTAGGGGAAAAAAATTTGGACGATTCAAAAGAGTTGTACTATACATCCAATTTGAATAAAGATATATTGATTTCTGATTTCTTTAGAGATCGTTGTGATATGGTGTTCAAAGTGTATAGAAAACATATTTGAATAAAAGTTTTATTGAAACAGGACCTACCAATATCCCTTTTAACAGATACAAATAAAACACCGAAAGTTCAAATTAAACATTTTTATTTGCATATTCCTTACCATAAATACTTATAACATGCATTCACTTTAACTAACACGAAAAACAAGCGTTAACTTGCCACATAACACAAAGTCGTTGGGTTTTACAATAAATAAAAACTATTTTTTTTTTATCAAAATTCTATAATAAAGGAGATAGAAAAAAATAGAGCGTTATTCTGTCTTTAAAAAATTGACAATGTTCAAAAACATTTCCAAATAATAATCTACATTCCTATAAGATCCTGGTCAAAAATTGCATTTATGTCAAACTTTCTTCTATATGAATATTTTTCAAATAAATACCTATGTACACTCGCGGAAAGACCCGCTCTGTCACCCATAATGCCATAATCGCTTGCGGTAGCGGCGTAGTAAAAACTCATTCATAGACATGTAATTATCGCCGTCTTACTTTTTCGTATAGCGCTGTCGCGATCACGATGCGGATGACAAATTGCAACTAAAACAAATGCAATTCAATTCATTTTTCATTCAATGAAATGCTCTCTGTCTTACTTTAGTGCGGCGGCCCGGATTGGCGCGTCCGACGCGAAGGCGGGGCGTAGTAAAAACTACTGTAGAAAACCGTTCAAAGCATTTTGTTCGCCAAGTGACAGAGCGCAAAATTCCGCGATAGTACTATAATTTAAGTAATCAACACATAGAACTTACATCTCTTTTATGATTACAAAAATATTCTTTGCGTTGAAAAGTAACAGGCCCACTCACGAGCCTTCAATAGGGAATAAGCATGTTTCTTTTTCATATTTTAATGTAGTAGTTATGATCCCCATAACAAAGAAGAAAAATATTCAACGTCGAAAATAGACTATTTTTTTTTTTTAAATGAAAAAAAAATTTTTTTCTTTACGTCACTAGGATATAATATGAAGGGAGGGAGGCTTACAAGGTAAGTAAAATAGGTTTACTTCATTTGTAATCAAAATATTTCAGTTTATTTCAATTTTCTTATAGATTTATTGCCGTACTTTTAGCCATAATTAATTAATGTCGTCTCTTGATTACGGCTGATAGAGATACAGAGAAACAAATAGGTACTTAGAAACAGTACAGACAACATCGCGTCGCAACCTTCACTTTTCAATATTCCAATTGTTGATCTAAGATTCAAACATATACAGCCTAATTACAAAACGAAGCCTAAAATTACCTGGATTAAAGAAGATGCTGTCGCTATTGTTTACTAAAAAAAAGACAGAGACAACAATAGGTTTTAACCAAGACCAACTTTAGTTCACGTTTTGGAATAAGGCAGATAAAGTTTATAAATAGTTCGAATCGGTCTCGTTTCAGAAATTTGAATTTCCAACAGGTCTTCCGTACTTTATCAATAAATATTGATGGAGGGACTATTCAAAAAGAAATAAGAGTTTATATAAAAAAAATTAGCCTATTATTAGAATTACATGCATATTCCCAATTGATTTTATGTTTCATTAAATTTGATGCTATCTTAGCGAAAGCAGTACCTAGAATATGGCAACACGTCATTTCCACAGGCGTTAAAATTAATTGACGCCTGTGAGTTCGGCCGTTAGTGATACAACTAAAATTTAATAAAGAAACAATCTTGTACGGTACATAAGGTAAATATGGCACAACACAGAGCGAAACAATAATCTACTGCTTTAAGTTATTATTTAAAATAAATATTGAAATAATCATCGACATTCTCTATTAAAAAATAATATTATAAAACCATCTAAAACTTTAAAAAACTCACGTTTGTTGTATGGGGTGTAAAAAGATTATACTTAATTTCAAGATCCTATATGTTTCGATAGACTTAGAAATAATAATTTCCACAATTCTAATACATAACAGTACATACATCGAGTAAGTCCAAAATTGTCTTTCTCGAATAAATATTCAACCTTATATGTGAGAAATAAAATAATATAAAAATCAAAATGTCTGAATTTCAAAGTCAAACTTAGATACTGCCAGCACCAAATCTTTGACGGTATCCATTTTCCATTTAGGGAATAATCCATATATCATACGCGATCTAAGCGAAGGTGGAATCGGGATGCCCCACTACATTAAACAATAGGAAGAACTAACTTTTTTCTCCTTCGTCTATAAAGTAGATTATAAAAAACGGACACGTGTTTTTTTCACATAATAAAGATATATTTATTTGAAATATCGCATGACGTCACAACTTGGTACAATATTTACTTAGCAGTGACGTCACGAGCCCCCACTCTCAAACTACGCGCTTTTTCCTAGTCACTTTTTGGTATATTGACAAAAGAAAAAAAAAATGTGTATACTATTTCGCTTGATATTTTAATAATCTAACTGACGGAATAAATAGGATTTCTTTAACTTCACCCCCATCATCCGCATTATTAAAGTGCCGACTCGCTTTTATTATCAAATGGTAGCCATACACACTACGAGAAATCGTTACGATCAGATTGTACAGTTCGAACGGAACAGTTTATCGTACGTGGCGAACGTATAGGAAACTGTGCAATTTTATAATGGTAGCCATACACACTACGAGAAATCGTTACGATCAGACTGTACAATTCGAACGGAACAGTTTATCGTACGCGGCGTACGTATAGAAAACTGTGCAGTGTTATAACATACACGCTACGATTTATCGGTACCGTTCGGACGGTACAGTCTGATCGTAACGATTTCTCGTAGTGTGTATGGCTACCATAACATACACGCTACGATTTATCGGTACCGTTCGGACCGGTACAGTCTAATCGTAACGATTTCTCGTAGTGTGTATGGCTACCAAAAACTGGACATACAGAACCGTCTCAGATATCACAGAACATTTCACTGGGGTTCAATTGTGACGCCACAACTTTTGCATTGAGTGCAAAGAAAAGAGGAGTCGAGGAAACTGCATGTTTCTCTTCATACAAGAGATATACCAGCACATAACGAAATAGCTCTTATTGCTCTGTAATAAAGATAGTTTTCGATGGCAAACGGCATCCCCAAAAGTGTCTTTGACGTATATACAGGGTGTAAAAAAACCTACAACGAAGTCGAAGGCCACGTATTTTCCACATCATGACGATCATTTTTTTCTTCTGGACCATACCTGGGAAATTTATGGTTATGGAGATATTGAAGGTCAAAGCCAAAATATTTTTTTCAAGATTTATACATTAATATTTTCAAAACGTTATTTAGAAACTTTTTTATCGACGCACTTAGACACACTCAAACACATACACACAGGCAAATTGTTTGCGTAGCGAAACAGTAGCGCGACGAGCTATACATTGCGTACTGGAAAAAAAATGTTTTTTTTTTAAACTTAAAAATATAATTTTTTCCCACCTATAATATTTTGTAATATGACTTGTTTGGGTGTACAGAACGCAGAGTTTAAATATTTGTCATAGGTCTTTTTACATCCTGTATATATATTATTCGATTGCGTGACTCATCATTCATAAAAGCTTAGTCGAAAAAACATAATATGGAAATAATAACATTTCAGTTTGCCCGATTGCCGTAAAATGACAAAATACTAAACACAATTTTAACTTTAAACAACCGCTTTGGTTCAAAATATAAGAGTTAACAGTTTAAAGAGCTGCTGTTTGTATTATTATATGTTTGAATTTGTGAATTTCATACACATCCATGCATTCAATTTAAAGTTAAATTATGTAACATTTAACAGAACACATTATAATATCCATTTATATAGTATCTTTATGTAGTTACATATACTTGCCTTTAAATAGTTACACTAAACAAAAAAAGATGCCGCCATAAGTGTCGGCATTGATTTTCTTTGATCTCAAAGCAGGCATTTTTATCTGCAGTGTGCACACCACTCGGCATTTTCAAACTTAATTTTATTCAGTAAATGACCAATTCTTAGATCTTTAAGTATCGATATTCAAAAACAAAATAAAATTAATCAACCAAAAATAGATTCTCTTTCTCTTATCATTTCTTAAATAGGCTCATATTTTGCGTGTAACGTGCAAAAACATAATTGTGCCGATAAAAACATCTAATAAAAATCACTTATAACATATTGCACATCAGGGCTGCCTGTAGGCCAAATCTTAATTATTGAACAACTAGCTAAATAAATTATTATCGTTGTAAAGCAAAATAATGGCAAGAACCTGTCTTCATTTCAATGAGAAACATTCCAATTAAAATTAAAATAATACTAAATTATTCATAAATAACTTCCGTTTCACAACAACAAATGAGTATTATGAAAATTAATAAGGAGAGCATGATTGATAAGCTATGCAGGAATTCCACGCGATTCATAACTTATATTTAATTAACGAACGAATACCCAAACGACTATCCGCTTTAATTGACGGCTTCTTAAATTCTAAAAACCTGTCAATCACCTCACGTTTTCTGAAATTTGACAGCTACATTAAATTAAAAGACAAATCAAGAAACCTGTTTTTCGACAAAAAAAGTTTGAGTATTTGGGCGTATAAGTCAAGCCAGAAACATATTAACGTGTCGTGGCGCATCGGTTTCATACATTTATTATGGGTTAGAGAGAGATAGAGAGGTTAAAGCGTCGACACGACACGATACGTAAATATGTCTCTAACCATAGTAAATGTATGAAACCGATGTGCTTCTGGCGCGCCACGACGCGACACGACATGTTAATATGTTTCTGGCTTCACATTTTACGACTTATCAACTTTTAAAGTAAAATAATAATTTAAATAAAATTAATATAGTATAAAATAATACCCGCCAATTTTAAAACTCTTCTAAATAAATAAAATACTTATAAACCGCCTAAGGTTACGCTACTACATAATTATTTACATTTCTTGCTTTTCAAAAAATGTCCGGTCGCCTTGAAACATGTAATGGTTGATTCTCAGCATTATTATTTAAAAAATCCCAAATAATTTTATTCATAATTAAAATAAAGTGATCAAGTTCTAGCAATGCCATATTATTTATCAAACTAGAATGAAATTATAAAGGTTAATAATATTAATTATTGCCAGAATTATTAGTCAAATGGTAAGGTAATTGGCTAGCTAACCATCTCTATAAGCTAGAATAGATAGTGTCAATTTTCTTTAGACGTTTTTCTGAATATGCCAGTCTGCTAATTAGGGTTCCATACTTCAAAAAAAAATAAAAAAAAATCCTTATAGGATCACTTTATTGTCTGTCTATCTGCCTGTATGTAACCCTTTCGAGAACGCGAGGAGTAAACGAGTTGAAAGGACATGGTTAATAAACTACCCTCAACGTGTATAATTATTTTGCACTAGCCCGAAACATTATAAGATTATTTTATTAATAACTTATTTATTACTCTCATACAACTTTCGTGAAATAATCAAATATTTAAAAGTATAAAAATTTACTTCATGTCTGTTGCAAAAGGAAAATGATCCATTTCGCAAAAATAAATGTACACAAGAAAATACTTGTTGTAAACAAACTCCTAAAAACTATGACACAGTTGGCCCTAATTTTTATATTAACAAATCACTGAAGGTCTTAATTAATAGATTTTATTTTTCTGACGTCAGTCAAACGACAACAATAAATTATTTGTATTTATATTTGCTTTAAAAATACTTTTTGTTGTGTAGTGTTAATTAGATAAATGGGAGGTAAGATTCTAAGAAAATGTGAAAATGATGGTTCTGTAAATAATTGGAAACATCTTTTATCAAATGTAGCAAGATAATAGGAATAACGTAGTAGGAGCTTTCATAATTTTCAAGATTGTGACTTTAATAATAAAAAAGGCTAGTTTTTCATATATCTATCGATTCATACTAATTACCTTGTTGGCGGAGCTGGGTCAAAAGTTCCTGAACCTTTTTCTCATAGAAATTATAAATATTCAGCCATTCAGCATTAAATATTACTAAGTAAAATATTAATAAACTGCTAAGGCGTCGCTCATACAAAAATTTACCATGTCCTTTAAACCATATACTCAGATCTACGGTCCCTTGAAGCTGAGAAAAAAAAGACACTTCGAAGTTAACGTAAAAAAAGAAACAGTCGTGTATGTTGCGTACCGGAAAATTTGTACGGAACCATCGGTGGGAGAATCCGACTCCCACTTGTCCGGTTTTTTATAAAAGCATGGCATGACACGTCTTTATTGTATATAAAATAAAAAATTTGCCGGTACGCAACACCGGCAAATTTGTACGGAACCATCGGTGGGAGAATCCGACTCCCACTTGTCCGGTTTTTTATAAAAGCATGGTATGACACGTCTTTGTTGTATATAAAATTAAAAAAATGCCGGTACGCAACACCGGCAAATTTGTACAGAACCATCGGTGGCAGAATCCGACTCCCACTTGTCCGGTTTTTTATAAAAGCATGGCACGACACGTCTCTATTGTACTAACCATTTGTTTACGAAATAATACTGCAAAAAAAGCTAATACTTATTAAAGCACTCAATAGCCTATCTATTTATGATTTAAATCTCAGCTTTATGATTCTAGCAATTAACAGAAAAATAAATTTAATTTTTATTTTGTCATACTTAATCGAAACAATTGTCTTTGGCGTTGCTAGAATACGACACAATTACATCCGGCTGTTTACTCTTTGGTACAGTCATATTTTTTATTTTATAAAAAAATATTTCATGAATGAATAAATTGATAAATAAATAGTGCTGCATTTCTAATTTATTTTATAAAAGGTCGCATCGTTAGCATTTATGTTTAATACACTTGCATGAATAATAAAATAATAAAAATAATACTTAAAATTGCAAAATGTAAATGGATACAATTTATTAGTATACAAGTTGCAATTATAATATGTAATAGTATCAATCAATCTTTGTGCAAACCATGTTATATATTGAAGGTACAGTAATAAAAATAGCATAGAAAGATTGCTAGATATTCTGCATATTAAATGACAATCGTGATGTCACAAAATAAAATTGATATAGAACATCCAAAGTCCTTTAATGTATACGAAAAAGTTGAAATGCTAGCACTTTATGTGGCAATTTGTATTGGCCATATTCAAAGACAGCATCGGTGTCGATTCTGGCGTGATTAGCTAAACTTAAACTAAGTTTAACATCAGTATCTCATTTTCATTCTGTATAGAGAATGACAGGGCTTACTGTTGTCAAAGGACATTGGGCAAAAATGTATGGACGCTGCACCCACGTCCGCCACGGTTTAAACTACATTTGTTTGAAAGGTATTATAGTCATGATTATCTGTGCCAAAGCTCATCAAATTCCATCCCGGGGGTCTTTAGTTATTTTAAGTTAAATAGGCACAAATACTATAACGAACGAACAAGGGAATTAATTTAGTTTGTTAGTTGGACCCTACATAGGGGGCTCAGGTATTATGAGAATACTTCACAAGATGCTAGGGTGCCTCCTTATGTTATTCTGCTGCGCTAAAGTAAATCCAAAAATCCCCGCATGGGTTGGGGTTTTTTCAAACATTCTGTTCGTTATAGTTTCTTCTATGTAAAACGGAGCGACCACAAATCACACAAACTTGTCCACGCTTCAGAGAAAACATGATTCCAGTTCATCCATACTAATTGACAAAACCGATAATCGCGTTCCAATATCCAAAGCGAGTTAGATAGAAGTTAATCAAGTGACAAGGAGCGCACAATCACAACGAAGTAAGACGAGTCGACTATTTGCAACTGCAAATCCTTGGACCCCCGTTAAACGTTTTCAGGTGTCTCAGTAAGTGCAAGCGCAGAATGGTTGGCAGGCTTTGTCGTTATTTGGTTCGTTTTATAGTACGATATGGCATATTATTATGGTTACTAATAATATAAACTGAAGGTCATATAAAATGAATTTATTTAGCTACTTAATATGCCCGTGTCATATCTTTTGTCACCAGGATATTTTTTACGAAGTCATATCTTTTGACTACCGGGATATTTTTTTACGGTGTCATAATAAAAAAGTCTAGTTTTTCATAGATCTGTCGATTAATACTTATAACATTGTTGGCAGAGCTGGGTGTGTTTTGCCCATTGTCCTTTAAGTTGCGATTTAGAGAATCGTGCCAGAATTAATACCATTATCCTGTAAAGGAAATGAAAAAACGAGTTACTGTCAAATTTGGCCAAAGCAAATAAAAATAGTCATGTGAAGTGCTACCATTATTATGTATACAATTATAACGTCCGCTATTAATTACATAATATTGCGAGCGCGTTTGCTATTTATATCATACAGTAGGGTTACGAAAACTATGACTTATAATATAGGGACATTATAGCAACATGTGACATTTAATACTAGTCTCCTGTCAATAATAATATTCAGTGTGCTCCCTACAGCGCTCCAGGTTCAACAGCAAAATGGCGGGTAAACGAAAATGTGGGTAGTTAAAAAAAGCAACATTCGATCCCACCCACTTTTCTCGTTCGCCCGATTATTTAGACTTTTTTGCGAAGTAGAAAAAATATTATAGGCTATTTTATTAGATTAATTCTAATTTTAAATACACGTACATTGTTAATCTATCTTTTAACATAGTACAGGATAATTACAGATTACTTTTTTATTTTATACACATAATAAAAAAATAAACAAAACATTATATTCTTACGTCTAAGCCACTTGCTTTCGTGTATCATAAAATAACTCCATAAGTCAATACTTTTCATTGAATCATTTTGTGCAAAACGATTACGAATCAAAAATCAAATTTTAATAACGCAAAAGTATTTTCAAAATACTATAAGTTTACTAATAAATTACACTACGTCATCATTTCAGTGATAGACTTTAGCCTCCTTATTAATATACAAGGTCTACGCTTATATCAGTAACTCCATGTCTTGTCTTGTCTATTGAATGACAAATGACATTTGAGTGACATGAACAAAACACTACTTGTTTATTAATAAGAGGGTAAGGGTATAAATAATAAAAAATATGTTGACGTTTCGTACACGTATTATAAAACTTAAAATTCTAAAACTCTGTAAATTCGGAATTGCTTAAAAAAATGTCTTTTCTAATCAGAGGAACTCTACAGAATATAAATTTAAAATCAATCATAAGTTACGCTTGTTGTATGAATAGTAAAAAAAATAATCGCTGGATCTTACTATTAATATAGATCATTTTCAATAAAACATGTTTTTTTAACAATTGAGTCTTCACTCAAACCACGAAACAGATACATAGATGCCCTAAATGAGGTCTATTTCATAAATTAGGTCTATTTCATAAAAAAATGTTTAACATAAGTTACTTTTGTAAAATATATGACTGTTTGTTGCCAAAATAAAAAATTAAAAAAAAAATGCAACGGCAAACATATCATTATTGGAACGTTTTTGTCTTTTTTGTTACCGCTCCTGGAGCCAGGCCTTCCCTATGGATGGAATAGGAGGATCGGATCATGACCCATCACGCAGGCCTAATACGGGTTCTACTGGTTGCAAATGCAGCCGAAGAGCTCAAGAATTTTGTTTACCCATCTGAAAACCGGTGTCCCGAGTCAACTTACTTTGTAACTGAGCAAGAACAGCAATGCTAACAATTTGTCGCGATTATCGTTTTTTTTTTTTATAAAATGAAGATAGTCTGATACTTCTTATCATTTCCTTACTTTTTCTCCATATGTTTTTTTAAGACGTGAGTATTTTGGCTTCGTTCGTTACTTCCGAATACCAAAATTGGAAAACGATCTTTCTTGGCTTTTTTTAAATAAAAATTTTAATAGATTAATCTCAATAAATTCTAGTTCATTTTAATCACCACGACACTTCCTGTACACAAAATTTTGATGGTTGCAAGTTTTATACCATTTGAGAAAATCAAATCAGAGTTCCGTGGTAGCAAGTCGCCCAGTTTATTTGCAGTCCAGTGTAGATAGAGGAATCCAAAAAAAACAAGCAAAAATGGGCTCATATTACGCGCAATGTGTGCGTGACTCTAATGTCAGATTGTTTAAAAACAGTCAGTGTGTGCGTGTGTAGCGACGAGCGTATCTATCGTATGTAGCAGATATTTTTGGGCCGTTTCCGTGCAGTTAAAGCGGTAGGCGTGTATATAATCAAACCTTGTATACTGCGTATAAAATATCTTGTTTTTCCTGAAGTTAGTTACGCACATCACAACTTTTGAACAAACCCACCGCGGAATTTAACGGATAAACTTCCTAAACTACAGTCGGGTCGTGGCCACAGATTACGTGAGACGGAAAGCTCAACAGATAACTTCAAACGTGTATGTAAAAAAAAATAAAGGTGGTTTTCCAATTACAGAGCATTATGCGACTCAGTGGCGCACAATGCCGAATTATGCTGATGCTTAATTGGAACGTGAATTAGTTTTCAAATGCACCAGCAGAGTGCGCTAAGTTCAGTGTTGAAAAAAAAGTCAATGTTTGTACCTTCATCCATATTTATATTTAATTTTTTAACACAGTTTGAATTAACTTTTATTATTTAAAAAAAAACTATAATGAAACTAAAGTTTTAATAATTTTTCAACAATTAATAATATTACTAACGATAATATATAAATAAAACATTTCGATCAATACCAACATAAAGAAAAAACACTTGTTAATTTTCTGTCTCTGAGTTGGTACGATTGCACGCATCACGCGAAGGCATTACTTTTGAGAGTGCTCGATTGTGCGAAGCGTTGCTGTAGTTGAAACACTCAACGTTAAGCATTACGCCGCATAATGCGCTATAATGCTGTAATTGGAAAGCTACCAAATTGAGGGTCAAAATAATTGATTCTCGAAGAGTAGACTAAACACTAATACTACTACCTACTAACTAGACTAACTTTAGTCCGCGTTTTGTAGTAAGAGGGAATAAGTTTGAGAACAGTTTGGTCTAGTACTGAAGGATAATCATTTTATAAAACTCTTTACGGCTTTCTCTCCTTGTACTTGCTTTGCCACTGATACATGATGCCGGCACTTCACTTGGCTCTAAATCTCTGCGTTCAGATTCGTTCCGGACATACTCCACTAAGGCATGGTACGTGTCCTCTCTTACACCCCAGATTTTACAGTTGGGAGATTCAATAACTTTCATTAGGAATCCAAACGCATTCAGTGGAACGGAACGTAATCTCATGATAGTCACAAGAAGTGGCCGATTCATATTTTCTTTGACAAACCAGGGTATTTTGGGTGGTTAAGAATGTATTCTTTTATACCATACTAGCGGACCCGACAGACGTTGTCCTGTCTAGTATGGTAGCGCCGTCTGTCGGATCCAATGTAAAACATTCCAAAATCAACAACTACTAATAAATTAAAAATTAATTAAAAAAAACATTGTCCAGCGGACAAAATTGTGAATCTAAACCATTCTCAGATCCCCTTGAACACACACAAAAAATTTCATCAAAATCGGTCCAGTCGTTTAAGAGAAGTTCAGTGACATACACACTCACAGAAGAATTATATATATAAAGATAACCTTTCTCCTCAAATCTCTTATCGAAATACTCTTTCCACAATTTGTAACATTCTTCTTTCTAATTGTGTTTGCTTGTATAGTGTAAACTTAAATTCAATTCATTCCTTATAAAGATACAATGCCGCAAAGGACTGCAGGCGACAACCGCAGGCGACACTACGGCTAGCGCCTGCGGCTGACCGTGCGTTATATCTCGCTCGGAATCAATTTCATAGAGATTCATAGAAACTATAGTCTGTCCATTCTACTTTTATCTTTTTGACAGATCGACGCTCATGAAATTTTGTATTGTTTACGTTAAAATGTCATACAAATAATATTGTACTTCATGGAAGGGTACCGCTTACTTAGTGATGTGCCAATGATTACTAAGATTGTGCCACAGATTACAAATAATCGGTAGAAATAAATGAATGCAACCAAATTGTAAGGTAGAAACCAAGTAATTAAAATATTAACATTAAGTTCATTATATAAATAAACAAATATATAAAAAGTATACTGCTTTTTTGTTGTATATACATACATATTATAGATAAATCACAGCCAGGCACAGAACAAATAGTCGTGCTCATCACACAAATATTTGTACTAGGTAAAATAATAAATCTTATGAGATTCAGTATTTTTGATAACTAAAATAATTTCGATGCTTATAATCGATTAAACAATGTTCTAGCATAAAATCGATTATAGCTTTAAATCGAACGAGTTATGTGATAGGGTGTCACTATTTTTACTTCGATCGATTTGTCAAAAAGATATTAATAGAATGGACAGACTATAGTTGTGTCGCCTGCAGTCTGGAGCTGCGGCCTGTGGTCTGCGGTTCAGTTCGGACTTGTACCTTTAAGCATGATACGGAGAGACTATTTCCAAGTTTACAAATAGCAATTACGAATAGCCAAGTGAAGTATGCCGGCATGACCATTTAGAACCAACAATTAAATTGTAATTAAATGGATAAATCAATAGATCCAGTTTACGAAACATTCTTACTTTGAAAATTGCATTAAACAATTATTTATTTACTATTCGAAATAAGTCAGTAGTGCTAAAGTTCAAGAAGCTGTAAAACGAATAAAAAAATAATTCAAACATACATAAAATGTAACGCGACTCTATAAAAAAATAATTCTAAGATTGCGGGCTAATTTCGACCTTAATACAAGTTAATATAGTTCAAGTGCTACCCAACTACTCTATTGAATTCAATTTACAAAATCCCATACATTTTATGACTTTGTTAACAAAGTAGAAAATCGTATCTTAGCAGTTACGAAACATTTAGTTTTTGATATTCAATGTGTTTACCTATTAGCCAAGCTATTTTAGATCTTACCGCTGCTGTGATAAGGCTGAGTGTCGGGGGTACAGACGAAGGCCATTCTTAACGACATAATTAACCTTGAACAAATAAAAGTTATTTTATTTACACAATCATGTGGGGGGCTTTTTATTGACGGTTGCTGAAGGTGAACATAATACAAAATAATTATACCTACTTTCATATACACCCTGGCAAAATTCATGAGCAACGACCATAGACAAGGAATCCTGCACAGTAACAATTTTACATACATAACCATGAAGGTTAGAGAGAAGGAGAACCATCGCTATAGAAAATAGTGTCCCAGAAATATGGACAAAATAAGTGAAGCGCTGCGATCGCCAAGTTGTCTCAATAAAAGCGGGCTAATTTGAAACGACCAATGCCGCGAAGAAAAGGACATGGTAAAGTTTTGTATGAGCGACTGCCCTGGCAATATATAAATACTGTACTTAGTAATATTTAATGCTAAATGGCTGAATATTTATAATTTCTATGAAAAAAGGCTCAGGAACTTTTGATAAAGACGCGATCTTGAAAATTATGAGAACTCCTACTATGTCATTACCTAACTACAGTTGATAAAAGATGTTTGTCAAACATTTACAGAGACATCAATTTCTCATTTTCTTAGAATTTTTCATCCCATTTCTCTGATTAACTCTTCACAAAAAGTGTTTTTAAAGCAAAAATAAATACAAATAATTTGCTATCGGCGGCCTGACAGGAAATCTGTGAAGTTTTATTTTGTTCATTTGCAAAAATAAAGGATTAATTATTATACAGCCTTGTCTCAAGCCTGATCAGACTAATAACACTTTTATTTTAGGCCTTCAGTGATTTGTTTTCATAAAAATTATGGCCAAATATGTTATAGTTTGAAGGAGTTTAGAAATAATATTGTTTATTTCGATATACTTACACAAATATTTTGTTTTGTACATTTATTTTGTAAAACGGAACATTTTGCTTTTTAAACAGACATGAAGTCAATTTTTATACTTTTAAATATTTGATTATTTTACAAAAGTTGTATAAGAATAATAAACACATAATAATTAATAAAAAAATATTGTAAAGTTACTGGCTAGTGCGAAATATTTATACACGTTAAGGGCGGTTTCTTAGCCATGTCCTTTGTACAATATTCAACTAACTTCATCCACTTGTCCTCATAAACAGCTAACTTCACGCGCGAGAATATAGTTCATCATGATTGTATGTGGGCTGGATCTTGCGCTGATTCTGTGCATCCGGGGAATATGTTTGTACCCACTGATTTTGTCCCAGCCACACCGGGACAGAGTTTGCTGCGCCGCGACAATATGTCTCCGCCCAGACCGGAAACGCCTCCGTCTCTGGACAGGGATGGCTCTGGGATCACTCCTACACATTGGCTCGTCAGCAATTCGACAACCTCGGCGTGCAAACACCTTCGAACTCTTGTGAATCAGGTCAGTTTGGGCAATTAATAATATTTAGTTATAGTTATCTTAATTATTTGTACCAATTCTGTTTTGGGAAGTTTATCAGTTATTTAATTTTAATATGTTTAATGACAAACAACAATAGGGATGATGACTAATTTTTTTTTCTTCGTTTATCAGGTAGATTATCAAAAAGTATTGGACACGTATTTTTTCTTTTTTCACATAATATAAACATTGCAGAGATATATTGATTTGAAAAGTCGCATGACGTCACGTTTGAGTACACTTATAAGTGAAAATTCACTCAAAAGTGACGTCACGAGCCCCTACTCCCAAACTTTGACGGGCTATAACTTTGTCCTTTTTTGGTTGATTGCCCAAAGAAAAAATACGTGTTCATTATTTTTTGATCGTTTAACTGACGGACTAAATAGAATTTCGTTTACTGTACCCTATTTCATTGTAACAGTAAAATTTTAGTGGCTCACTAACGTGAAAAATTCCTGAAACTATTTAGGTGGAAATAATTCTTAGACTTGCTATTTCTATTGTGACATGGTTTCATTACACGTTTTTGTTCGTTTCGTTTTCAAAGTATTAGTGGTAAGTTTTAAATAATTTCGAAATGGAATACCTTTATAGATTCTCTTTTAGCGCGGCTAGTGGTTAAAAATTGAACTCTAAATTCTACACATTTTCAGGGCAGGCGGGCTAATGCTGTAGCATATGCAGGCGTAGCGATCGTTCTCTTTATCTCTAATCTCCATGCACAAAACCGTCTACTGCGCAAGTTTGATTCATCATCATCAGCCTATTAATGTCCCCACTGCTGGGACACAGGCTTCCTTATGTATGGAATAGGGAGATTGGGCCATGACCCACCACGCGGGCCCAGTGCGGGTTGGTGGGTGCTAACGACTGCAGATGCAGCCGGGACCAACGGCTTAACGTGCCTTCCGAAGCACGGAGGAGCTCGAGATAGTAAATTTTCGGTCACCCATCCAATGACCGACCACTGCGAAAGTTGCTTAAATTCAACGATCGCTGCGGAACGCGCTAACCAGCAAGTTTGATTGTTCTAAATAAATAAATAAGTATAATAAATAAATAATTTATTATTAATGTAATTTCCAACACTCACACCAGTTAGCCTAGCCTCAAAGTAAGCACTGGAAGGCTTGTGTTATGGCATGCTAGGGTAACGGATAGAATACATATACAGTACATATATGTTTATATAGAAATACATATTAAACATCCATGAATGGAGTACAAATGCTCGCATTCATCACACAAACATCTGCCCCCACCGAGATTCGAACCCGGGACCTCTCGAGACGGCGACACCATGAAACCAGGCGTACAAACCACTCGGCCACGGAGGTCGTCAAACGTTGTGGTTTTGCTTAAGAAGTTTGCCGCTACCTATACTAATGTTTTGTTTAGCTGACTCTATTAAATCGCATAAAAACAGCTGAACAGGTTTGGATGAAATTCGGCACCCACTTAGTTTATTACCTGAATTTAGACATAGGATACTTTTTATCCCGAGGAAAATTAAATCCTGAGGGATTGTCAAAAAACTAAAATTTTAAATATGCTAAATAAATGCCCGCAGCTTCGGGGCGTTTATTAAGCAGCTTTTCCGTAATATTTCGTCCCCTTCGGTTGTCCAAGAAAAGCATAGAACATAGCTGATAGCTTATCAACTCAAACACTATCTTTTTAAATCTCACACTCAACCATGGACAAATGTGCAGCCGCTATAGTTTAGTCAGCAAGAGCGACTATTAAATTGATCAATAATTTATTTCGAGAGAAAATAGCTTTTAATAATATTTGGATTTTTTAAGCATTTTACTATTGGATGATAGAAAATACTATAAGAAAGTCGACACGGCCATTAAGGTCGCGATAGCATACTTGATCAGTCCCGGATAGCGGAGGATGCGGTATCATACATACACAAAAGGTTTTTATCCTACCATCATTTCTAACACTTCAAATAAAACATTAATTTGTAGCAATTTTGCTAAATCTCAATATGGCCCATAGAAAGATGTCAATCGCCAGTGTCAACTTGACATTCTTGTATGGCCTAAATCTAGTTTCTAATTAAATAGAAATTTAACAAAATTGCTGCAAGTGGACCTAAGACTTTAACTCGCTAGTTTGTATGGAATATGGTATACTCTCGATCGAGGAGCTCGATGGCGCAAGTGGTTAGCGCGTTCGGCTGCGATCGTTGAACTTAAGCAACTTTCGCAGTGGTCGGTCATTGGATGGGTGACCAAAAATTACTATCTCGAGCTCCTCCGTGCTTCGGAAGGCACGTTAAGCCGTTGGTCCCGGCTGCATCTGCAGTCGTTAGCACCCGCCAATCCGCACTGGGCCCGCGTGGCGGGTCATGGCCCAATCTCCCTATTCCATCCATAGGGAAGGCCTGTGCCCCAGCAGTGGGGACATTAATAGGCTGATGATGATGATGATGATGATGGTATACTCACTGTGCGGCTAGGTGATCAGGCGTGGCGCGTGGAGCCCTAACAGTCGCCTCGCCAGGGGGGGCCGGTGGCGGGGCTCCCCGTCGGCGGGGGGCGCCCAGTCCTGCAGGCGGGCGCCCCCCGCCAGTCTGTGGGTGAGGCGGTGTGCGATGGAGAAGCCCCCGCTGCCCTCCAGTTGGGTTAGCACTATTATAACTTGCCTGTTATGGAAGAAAATAAACAAATATATATAGGAATAGTCTTAATCATAGACTAAAGAAACATTACCTGTCACTATGTCCATGACCTGATTAATGTATGTCAAATGTTTAATTTATAGATTATATTAATTGTTACTCATTCGCGCAAAAGCTACTGAATGGATTTTAATTAGATTTAGGAAGCATATAAGTTTGGTACTGATAGAAAAGAATAAATTGTAAATAGGGAAAACAATAAATATAAGTTGTCACGGGAACTGCTGCCGACAAACTGCATTGTAGTTTGGCAGAGAAATATAGATAATAAGTGTTTTTCTTTGTGGAAAATAAATTAAAAAAAAAAATATACTAGCTGACCCAGCGAACTTCGTACCGCCATAAAAAAATAGGAGTTGGTGGTAGAAGGGTGAAAATTTAGGGTTCTATGTATTCTTGTATGATGTGTCATAAAAAATTAAAACAAAAATATCTAAAATTTAAAAATATTTTTGTTTTAATTTTTTTGTTTTTTTGTTTTAAAAAATAGGGGTGGATTACCCTTAACATTTAGGGGGATGAAAAATAGATGTTGTCCGATTCTCAGACCTACCCAATATGCACACAAAATTTCATGAGAATCGGGAAAGCCGTTTCGGAGGAGTTTAACCCGCCCCGTCGGCGGGGGGGCTCCCAGATCTTCAGGAGGGCACCCCCCGCCAGTCTGTGAGAAGGCCCCGCTGCCCTCCAGTTGGATCAGCACTATTATAACTTATCTGTTGTCCAAGAAAACAAACAAAGTTTCTTTTTAATGTTGGCAAGCAAGCAAGTGGGCCGCCGAGTAAGCGGCCACTGTAGCTTATAGGCGCTTGCGATACCAAAGTTCTCCGTTGCCTTCCAATGACCCCATATCTGTGTGAAGATTCTAAACCATTACTACGATTACAATAAACAATAGTTACCTATGTGGAGGAGGCAAGGAGTCTATGGTCTTGAGCTCGACTCTAATAGAGACCACATTGTAGCTCTCCTGGCAGTCGCACTTCACGTGGATCCACTTGTCTGTGTGACGATTTTCGATCATTACTACGAGGCCCATAAACAATAGTTACCTATGTAGAGGAGGCACGGAGTCTATGGTCTTGAGCTCGCTTCTAGTAGAAACCACATTGTAGCTCTCCTGGCAGTGGCACTTCACGTGGATCCACTTGTCGAGTGACGATTCTTAACCATACATAACAATTACCTATGTAGAGGCACGGAGTCTATGGTCTTGAGCTCGCCTCTAGTAGAAACAACATTGTAGCTCTCCTGGCAGTGGCACTTCACGTGGATCCACTTGTCGAGTGACGATTCTTTACCATACATAACAATTACCTATGTAGAGGCACGGAGTCTATGGTCTTGAGCTCGCCTCTAGTAGAAACAACATTGTAGCTCTCCTGGCAGTCGCACTTCACGTGGATCCACTTGTCTGAGTGACGATTCTTAACCATTACTACGAGGCCTATACACAACAATTACCTATGTAGAGGAGGCACGGAGTCTATGGTCTTGAGCTCGCTTCTAGTAGAGACCACATTGTAGCTATCCTGGCAGTCGCAGTTCATGGGGAATCCTATTGTCTGTGTGGCGATTCTTAACCATTACTACAAGGCCCATAGACAACAGTTACCTATGTAGAGGAGGCACGGAGTCTATGGTCTTGAGCTCGCCTCTAGTAGAAACAACATTGTAGCTCTCCTGGCAGTCACACTTCACGTGGATCCACTTGTCTGTATGGCGATTCTCCACCATTACCACGAGGCCAGCCCAGCCCTAACGATTTGTAATTTTGTTTAAAGAAAACGAGCAAAATAATTCTTATATTATTAATAGGGAACTACGTTTGTTATGTGTTGACGCCATCTTTTTTCTTTCACCAAAATTTATCAGCTGTTTGCTGATGAATTTTGACTTATACTTGCTTATGACTTATAATGAATAAGGGGAAAAAAATAAACTACTTTAGTCCCGAAAATAAAAGTTGAACTGATGGGATAAAACAGACGAAGTTACAGGTATCACCTAGTTAAGTATAAAACATATAATGTTATCTCATGAGTTATTATACTGAGAGTAAAATTACTTCGTCCTGGTAACTCTTAACCTAAACTGGACGAGAAACCAGTTTAAATTTCTTTCAGAACAGCAGTCATTGCTATAACAAACGTATGTAAGAAATCACTTTTTACAGATATACTATAAATAGTGGTTTCTTACATCAATATAATTATAATACGTTTATTTAAAGACTGGTGACTTAATGTATGTTTAAGCAACGTACGACTTAATGTGGTGTTTAACCTACGTAAGTTAATTTATAGCTTAGAAAAATACTAGAAATCAATATATCTATATCATATAGTTGTTTAGAATAACTTTCAGTAAAAAATATACTAACCTTAGTCAAGTAATACGCAGTCATCCCTTGCCGGCCTTCGTGCCGCTGGCCTCTGGCGAGCGTAAGGCCGATTATAGCGTCGGCCAATATGTGCGGATGTAGCGACGGCCTTTCGACGGCCAAAGGCTTGGACGAATGCGCGGCCAAAACGTGTCTAGGCCAGGCCGAACTATCGGCCAACTCTAGGCCAGTGTGCCAATGATTGAAAGCCAGGCAAACTACTAAGTAGAAGCCCTTTTCTAGCATTTTATGGCAGCCGACGAAACCGCGGACCTGTTGATAAATAATGTCATAATTTTTATTATTTTTAAAGCATGTAACTGCTTGATGTTTAAATCTAAAGAAAATATAACTAGAAAAAATTCCACGCGGACCAGGCAGCAGACGGGACCGCGTGGAATTTTTTCTAGTTATATTTTCTTTAGATTTAAACATCAAGCAGTTACATGCTTTAAAAATAATAAAAATTATAACTATAATTGCTATTTCTTCTTTCAAATGTTTAATACTTGTAAAAGTATTCATTTGACATTGTGGGTTTACCTATAATGCGAAGAGATGGCGCTGCCTTGCAGCTTAAGAATAGCTAGAAAGAATTTCGACGCGGTCCGTGAGGGCCGCGGTAGCATAATTGGTCAGTGCATTCGCCCGGATTGCGAAGGGTGCGGGTTCGTGTCCCGTCTGCTGCCTGGTCCGCGTGGATTTTTTTCTAGTTATATTTTCTTTAGAAATAATGTCATGTTTGATGTTCTTTCCAGGGCTTGTTTACCGGTTAATTTTCAAACCTAAATCAGTGTCAAGTACATTAGGAGCGTTTTATTTAGGTTTGGCTTTACCTTAACCTTAAAAAACCGGTTTTCCTAAAGAGCGAAATCAAATAGGTTTTGAATTAATTTTGCGGTTTTTAAAGGGTTTCATTTCGCTCTTTCTGACGGCATTGATAATAAATGAACAACTTGACTCACTAGATGCTATCGTGTCAATAAATGCATCAATCTTTGAGCATTAACAAGTTGTGACTTGATTAGTTCAAACAAAACAAACTTTAAGCGATGCCGACGCGTGCACGTGTCGCTCTGGATTAAACCAGTTTATTAAGGTTTTAGGTACCGCTTTCATTTCGGACGCGCTCCGAACGAAACCTTTACTAAAAACCGGTAGTAACCTTTATTTACCGGTATTTTCGAAACCGGTTTCAAGCCCTGGTTCTTTCTTCCAGCATTTCAGCGACTTATATACGTTCGAATTGCATTGCTAATAAAAATAAGATTAACGCTGTAGCGTCAGCGTGTACTTTGTATCTAGAACAAGCCGAGCTCACAATTTACCGCTGACGCACATAAATATTAGTTAAGAAAATTAGTATTTAAAATGTTAATGCGACACACTGACTATTTGGTTTCTCATCTCCCGTCACAAGGAGTCAATACGCTCATACCTAACAGATTGTTTTAATCAGGAAAAACTGAATGACGATAAAATAATAGCATAAATTTGCCGGCCAATTTAACGATGGCATTTCGACGGCCAAATGTTGGACGAATAGGCCGCCAAAAGGTGCCTAAGCAAGGCCGAACTATCGACCAATGTAAGGGCAGTGTGCCAATTTTTGAAGACCAAACATTAAACTAGATAGAAACCCCTTTTCTAGTATTTTATGACAGCCGACTAAGCCGCGGACATGTTGATAGATAATGTCATTTCCTATATTACTGCTTGTGACTTCTAAACGTCCAAATCGCATTGCTAACAGATCACGAAACCAAAATATCATATTTAACAGGTGGCGTTAATCTTTATAACCGAATGACAGCTAAATAATAGCGTAAATTAGTCGGTCAATACATGAGGATGTAACGACGGTATTTCGACGGCCAAAGGTTTGGACGAATGAGCGGCCAATTTATGTGACAATGCTGGCTGTGTGACTCTAGGCCAGTGTAATAACGATTGAATGCCATACATACTACTAGGTAGAAGACTTTTTCTAGCATTTTATGACTTCTAAATGTCCAAATCGCGTTGCTAACAGATCACGAAATCAGAATCTCATATTTGACTTTAACGGATGGCGTTAATCGTTATAACTGAATGACAGCTAAATAATAGCATAAATTAGTCGGCCAATACGTGAGGATGTAACGACGGTATTTCGACGGCCAAAGGTTTGGACAAATGAACGGCCAATTTATGTGACAATGCTGACTGTGTGACTCTGGGCCAGTGTAATAACGATTGAATGCCATACATACTACTAGGTAGAAGACTTTTTCTAGCATTTTATGACAGCCGACGAAACCTCGGACGTTTGTCATTTTTTATGTTACTGCATCAGCATTTTTGACGTCTATACATATTAATAGCATAGATACCCATGGCGAGATTGACACTCGTACTAAATAATAGGCACTAATCGTATGTAACCGAAAGACGGCGCAATAATAGCTGAAATCAGTCTACACTCTCTAATAGGGTATCATGGTTCATTACACGAATAAACCAAGTTAGGCAGCGATTAGGGGGCGTCCATAAATTACGTGAGGTGTTTTTTTTTGATTTTTCGGTCCCTCCCTCCCCCCCTGGTGAGATGTCGTGAGATTTTATTCAACCCCCTCCCCCATCCTCCAATCTTACGTGAGATTTTTCAAAATGTGGGTTTCTTACGTAATCGCGTTGTATTGTTATTGTAAAAAGAAAAAAAAGTTTGCTTCGTGCTTTCATTTACGACTAGTTTTCTTTCGAACCAATTAGTGAATGATTTTATCGTATTACGATTACGCTTAAGATTAAATCTTAAGCGTGTACAATCTTGATTAAATGGACCAAAATAGTATAATTCTTTTTTGTTTCAATCAGAAAAAAAATTGCGTGATATTTGTTGAGACCCCCCTCTCTCCAACGTAAGATTAGATGAGATTTGACTCGACCCCCTCCCCCTTACACATCTCACGTAATTTATGGACGCCCCCTTAGACCAACTAAAAGGTTGATCTTTAGCCTAGTAACTGTCCGCGGAATAAAACAAAACTATGTGATATGTATTACCTGTCTTTTGCTGTGGGCAACTAATTTTCCGACTTGGGCATTTGGCCCCGATTTCGTTCTGAACACAACGACGCACAAATCTAACTGCGAACGTTGACTCTTAGCGGAATTCCTAAAACAACGGACAAGACATAATTATGACAACAGTTGTATTAACAACACTTCTGAATTGCTTTTAGATAAAGCTGAAAAAAATTAAAAAAGATGGATTGTTTTGTATTGCTGCATGAATGGTTGGACTGACTAAGGTAGGTACTTTTTTTGTTGTCTTCCCTGTATCTAGTAACTAAAATACAACTTAATATTTTTATAGTCTACAAAGTTGTTGAGTTTCTTTTTTGTGTCAAAGAGTATAATTCTATAATCATAATTATGTAAGTTTCAAAAGCATGGTAGAGTGCGTAGTGTATTTTTTATTAATTTTATGTTAATATCTGTAATTCTTTGATATATAAAATCAATAGTTTTCTGAAATCCGTCACTTAATGATTATGCAAAAATCTCACATCTCACTATACGCAAAATATGCTAACAGATTAGTAGTTAGTAAGTCTTTCCACAGACCACATACAGACTAGAGACTATTAGTTTTTTTTTTGTTGTTTGCGTTGAGGCAAAGAAAAAAAATAACCGTGATTGTGTGCGTTTTTATGACTACCTTAATTCACGTCAACCAGGCAGGGCCTAACCTGCCAGAATATTAGCACCGCAGCGGCCTTAGTATCGTTGTGGCATTGTGCTGAGGCAGGGACCTAGTTGACCTTATACTGTGTTTTAATTTATGTTTTTCAATGTTGTCGGTCAATAAATTATTTCCTTCTTTCGTTAGTTTTGCCACCCCGCATTAAAAAATGACAAATGAATATGCCTCTTGTGTATGGAATCCACAGTATAATACATACATTGATGCTATTGAAAGAATTTTACACAAATTTGTAAAGTACTTAGAAAACAGAATTAATGTTAACTTGATTATTAATGATTGTGAAGCAAAATTACAGGTAACATCCTTGCAACATCGCAGAACTGTTAAAGATCAATTATTTCTTTACAAACTTCTAATGACCTTGTAGATTCGCCGTTCCTTTTGCAGAGGATTGGTTTCCGTTGTCCAAATAGAACTAGGTCTGACAATACTTTTGTAATACGGTTCAGTAGGACCAAGTTTGCTGCAAATAGTTTCATTTCTAGAGCATGTCACAGCTATAATAAATACTTCAGGGAATTGGATATATTTTGCCTTGCTTACAATCAATTTAGAAATGAATGCTATAAAGTCGTTTTACCGTAAAACTTAGTATTTTCTTTTATTCACATAACTCTAAATATTGTACGTAATCTTAAGTAAATTATGTAAGTACATGATAGTTTCAGTGTGTGGAAACTTAACTGGTTTATGAAAAAGTAATAAGTGTTACTTAATTGAATTGTGTACAACTGTATGTTTCCCAAATAATAATAAATAAATAAAATAAATCTCACCTTTGTCCCTCTTGAAACAACGTGAAGTCTACTTCAGTGGGTTGAGTGGCAGTGAGAAGTAGACAGGTTAGATGTCTGGTTGAGGACATTGGGGGAAGTATTCCAGCGAGTCTGACTTCGTGCCATCCTACTCGCACCTTGCAGATGTCTATGCAGTCGAAGTATCTGATGGCAAAAAATATCATAGGTATTAATAGGGATGATGACTAATTTTTTTTTCTTCGTTTATCAGGTAGATTATCAAAAAGTATTGGACACGTACTTTTCCCTTTTTCACATAATATAAACATTGCAGAGATATATTGATTTGAAAAGTCGCATGACGTCACGTTTGAGTACAAGGTACAGTAGTTATAAGGGAAAATTCACTCAAAAGTGACGTCACAAGCCCCTACTCGTAAACTTTGACGCGCTCTAACTTTGTCCAAGCACCTGTCACTTAATAGCGATTTCCGGACTACTGTTTCCCCTCTCCGTATTTCCCACGCAAATGGCGCCATCTTGGATTAATTTTGGCGGGAGGCTAGCTAGTGTTTGGCACTAAATTTTCACCTCATTATAGCGTCGTCTTTCTTAGCGAAAGTATCGGTCTAAGAAACATAGGTTTTTCCAAGTTAATTTTAAGTGATATTTTACTTATTTGGAGAAGTTTTAAGGTTTTCTCTCCGTGATGGAAAATAATGAGTTGTGAAAAAAGTGACGCTGATCGAGACAAAGATAATTCTCGTAAAAGACGCGACAGTGCTTCAACTAGTTCACATTGGGATTCATCGTCATGTGAAATGAAGCCAAAAAGTCTAAACAACATGTAAGTTATATGCAATTTCAATTGCTATTACAACAATTTGCTTTATCAACAAATTTGATTACGCAAATAAGTCTTTTCATCCAGCTTGTATTAATACGTATACGAATTTACGTAAAGACGTAGATTGTACATCAGATTCAAACAAGTTACAATAGGCTAGTTGAAAAAAGGTTTTAAATGGTGCACTCGCCCGGATTGCGAAGGGTGCGGGTTCGAGTCCCGTCTGCTGCCTGGTCCGCGTGGAATTTTGTCTAGTTATATTTTCTTTAAATCGAAATTGTTCAAAAATACTCTATTGGCGTCTAAGCTTCCTCTGTCTACCTGGGGCATCCAATGACCTACTATAATAGCAGATAAAAAGCAGTACTTACTTCAGAACATCATCGAAGCTGATCCAGAACACTCCCTGGTCTCTATCAGCGTCCGAGCTTCCAGAATGTACTTGGACGGCCCTTCTCGCTTCTTCCGTCCACCTGGGGCATCCGTGGGCCCAAGCCCCTCTCCAAGTGTAATGTCCCCAGGGGTTCCGTAGTCGTAATAGACGAGTGGGCCCGGCGACTTCAACGACGTCTAGGACGGAGTACGCGTGCCTAGGGCGAAGGCCTAAACGCTGGTATTCTTCTTCGTCTACCTGTTGTTGGGGAGAAAATATTTTACTTAAATACAAGAGAACTAGACAGAAAATAGGGACAGAAAGATTTTACATAAATACTAGCAGACTTGACAAAAAATGTAAAGTAAAATCCCCGTGCCGCGCCAACAAGTAGTCCATTTTTAATTCAAAATCATAGAAATAAAGAATGAAGACTGAGCGTCCTTGCATATTTGCATCTATCTCTCTTAATAAAGACAACGCGATGGTGCAACCAATATAATACAGTTTTTCGTAGATATCGTCAATTGTCTAGAAAAACAGAACATGATTGGGCAGCCTATAGTACAGAAGTAGTTCTTAGTAATATTTGCATCCGCATTCGCATTCGCAAAATCTTTGCGAATGTTTTGCGAATATGAATATTAGAAAAAAACATTTTGAAGGAGTTGTAGTTCTTCCTTTCCCTGAATATTCAAAAATGACATTCGTTACATCACTTGTACACATACAGCAATACATATCATACATTACAAAATTATTAATAACATAAACACAATTATTATATGCTTGCCACTTACGAGTGTACACAGCATTCAATATAAAAATGACAGTCCTTTAACAACATTAAATTAAAACAGAATAATTAAATTAGATAATTAGAATAATAAAACAGAATAATTAAATTGCATCTCATCCTCTTTAATATGAATTAAAATTCATATTAAAGAGGATGAGATGCAATTCAGCAGTTTAGGTCGGAAGTGGTTTTGACTATCGTTAAATATGTCAATATCTCCCAACATGCCATTCGTGTCATTATAAGTGGAACAGTTGCTTACTTATACATAGAGACAATGGACTGCCAGCTATAAAATAAATTCAAACGCGTTTCAAGTCGATTGCATAGTATCTTTCACAGTTCTCTGCTTTTTCGTACGATTTCGCGTCCTTTCTTATTTTTATACAGTGATCAATTTCATGCAGGTATCTATGTCCTCTTGTCCTCTGATGATCCATACTAATATTATAAATGCGGCAATTTGTCTTTCTGATACCAATTCGCGCTTAAACCACTAAAACGATTTAGATAAAATTTGGTATATCTAATATATAAAATGCTCGTGGCGGTGTTTGTGGTTAAACTCCTCCGAAACGGCTTTCCCGATTCTAATGAAATTTTGTGTGCATATTGGGTAGGTCTGAGAATCGGACAACATTTGTTTTCCATCCCCCTAAATCTTAAGGGTAATCCACACCTAAATTTTTTTTTTTTCAATTTTAGATATTTTTTTTTAATTTTTTTTATGATACATTAAACAAAAATACATACAACCCTAAATTTTCACCCTTCTACCACCCATATTTTTATGACGATACGAAGTTCGCTACCTCAGCTAGTATACATATAATAACCTACCTTCATATTGCCTCCCCCGCAGCTAGCCCCCATAAGGAAGCACGCTTGTCTCGAAGACAACAGTTGTGCCCATACTAAGTCCCTATCCAGTTGTTCTAAGGGCGCTCCGCCCCCGGCGCCTCCCCCCGCCCCGCCCGCTTGCAACGATACCGATTCGCAGGGAGCCCCGGTTAGCGTGCAAAGACCTAAAACCAAGTAAATCATTATAAATAAATAAATATTTCCAACACTCACACCAATTAGCCTAGCCCCAAAGTAAGCACTATAAGGCTTGTGTTATGGGATACTAGGGTAACGGATAGAATACATATACTTTACTAACATAAGTATATTTATATAGAAAAACCTATTAAACATCCATGACTGGAGTACAAATGCTCGTGTTCATCACACAAACATCAACCGGGATTCGAACCCGGGACCTCTCGAGTCGGCGACGCCATGAAACCCGGCGTACAAACCACTCGGCCACGGAGGTCGTCAATTATAAATATTATAAAAAAATATAATTATAAATACAATCCAGAGGGTGTAAAGGGGATACGAGGGTGAAAAGGGATTCGAGGGTGAAAAGGGGATTGGAGGGTAAAAGGGATTCGAGGGTGATAAGGGGATTGATGGGTGATAATAAGGAATTGCTGGGTGATAATAAGGAATTTCTGGGCGATAATAAGGAATTGGTGGGTGATAGTGGGGATTTATGGGTGATAATAGGGGATTGGTGGGTGATAGTGGGGATTGGTAGATGAAAAGGTGATACGTGGGTGTAAAGGGGATTCATAGTTGAAAAGGGATTCGAGGGATGGGTGGATGAGTGGAGATTGATGGGTGATATTAGGTGATTGGTAGATATAGGCACTCATATTAGTCTACTCGTTTGTAATAACCAACTTATTGCACTTGTATCTTAAATGACTAATTCAAACGACAAACAAAGTTAGTCGTTTGAAAATGGTCTAGCAAAAACTAAAAATTGTTGTAATCCTAACTAATATTATAGAGTCGAAAGTGAGTTTGCTACGCTTTCGTTTATATGTCACTGAATCGATTATGCTGGATTTTGTTATTAAATAACCATCTATTTAAGCCCGGAAATTGTTCGTTTAGTAGTGAAGATTTTACTTAAAAGAGATAAAAAACAAATTTTATAACAAATAAATTAATTGGAAAAAGACAGCTTCGGTGAGTTTATTTTTGCAAAATACATTTTAATTACCTTCAATTGCTCTTCCAGACACCAAAGCTTCATAGCACCCATGTAGTTTAGCGACCGCTTTCTCTATTAAAGGCACCCAAAGTTGTTTTCTTTTCGCCTAAAACAACAAATTTAAAATCTGAGAATGTTCTCTGAATTTGAAAATCAGTTATGGCTGATAAAAACTAGTCCTTCAGAATTACTTTTACACATTATAGTAGGTACTTGGCTATTTTGTATACAGTTACTAATACCAAAATATACTCAGTCAGCATAAACACATTCCAAATTTCCACTCTGAGCTGGCGTACTAAAGCATAATCTCCATTTTCCGTTAACATAAAGGGCCTGTGCCGCAGCAATGAGGATATTAAAAGGCTGATATTTATTAAATGCCTATAAATCATTTTAAGGATAAATAAAACTAGTTTTTACGGGTTAATGCACGAACTTTATTTATTTATTGACGTTGGGAGACCTTCCTGAGAAGAACCGGCGAAACAAACTCAAGAGAGGCTTTCTATCTCCTTCTCAGGAAGGTCTCCCAATTTTGGAACCGGTGGTAGTTTACGGTAGTTAGGGTCAAATAAATAAATAAACTCAAAATTACAAACAAAATTTTTAAATAAAATACTTTATTAAGTAAATTAAATAATAAATTCATACATAGACAATAAAATTTTAAAAATCTTCCAATGAAATAACCGAACGCTCAATATAAGTCTTTCGAAGGTAGCTCGACAATTTTAAATAAAAAATCATTATTCTGACGATGCAGACCTGAAAAGGCTGCGAAACGTCAATAAATAAATAAAGTTCGTGCATTAACCCGTAAAAACTAGTTTTATTTAATGAGTGATGTGCGTGAAAACCTAAGAAACAAATACATTTTAAGGATATTATATCCTGAAAGTAATCACTATAAAATTTGCAAATATCTGATACGAATAGTCATGTGAAGTGATAGCATTAAACACATTTGAATTGCATTCATATTACGCTTAGGGGCCGTTCAAGTATTACGTAAGCAGATTTATTACAATTATTTACCCCCTCCTCCCCCTTGTCAGCAAAAGTAAGCAAAGCTCTTACCCCTCCCCCTCATGCTTACGTAAACATTGGTACCTATATGCATTTTTCCTTTAATGTATTCTGTTTTTTTTATTGATTCATAAGTTTTCATGAGCTTCATGAGCAGCAGTACTTAAATAGGCTTAGTCCATGATGCTGACGTAATCACCATCTCGACCCCCCACCCCCCCAAAAATAAGCAAAGCAAAGACCCCCCCTGCCCCCCTATAGTGCTTACGTAATACTTGAATAGCCCCTTACATCTTCTACTCACCTGTGAATAAACCAAATGTCCCTTCTTATTGGCTGGTAGAAGATCGTCCACAGTGACTGTCAGCCATCTTCCGTCTTTGCACAGTCTCAATTGGTAGGCACCAACACTAGGTTCCCCGCGTACTACCACGCCGCGTACTAAGGAAGATCGTTCCGCTAGTACAGCCAGCGCAGACAGAAGCCAACAGTTGCCTAATACACCTAGAGGGGGGACATACTCGTGGTTAGACAAAAAAATTGTGTGTGTCAGCTCCGACGCACGACTGGAGTTTACACCTTAAGTTCGATAGTCTAACCAGACGCAAAAAGAGTTTATTTAACTTAAAAAAGATTGATACTGTATGAAAAGGTAAATTAACAAATAATGAAAATAATATACATATATAAATATATATATATTCATTTCATATACATTTATTATAACTAATCGATGAAATATTTTACATTAAACTTTTTACAATTACAGTGACAAGTGGTTTATGGTTATTAATGTCAATCCGTCATCTTTGTTTGTCAAAGTTGCGCGACATAGGATGCGCACCAAAAACGTAACGAGGTCATTCATCGATAGATTTTACTCCTCACATTTTTCTCATACCGGGCCCCTTATATATGCAAATCGATTCTTAAGGAGTAAACTCCAAAAATAGATTTAAGCACGCTGAAATTGGCAATTTTCTAAATTAAGACGTTTTATGGTAACGGCGAGATTTGTACAGAAGTGCCGTTCACTTGATTGATGACATCGCTAAGCACCTGTACCCATAAAGCAATAAGACCAACGGCCAGGAGGGGAGTAGCCGGAGTAAATCCCAAAATCCCCGCTTGGGCTCACCTACTAAAATGCCTGCGTTCTTTACTCGACATCTTTTTTGCCATACTCGACTTTCACAGCTATGACTTGTAATCTGTTTGTTACCTCTTCACGCCTTAAGCGCTAAACCAATTAAGACGAAATTTGGTATGGACATAGTTTGAGTCCCGGAAAAAGACATAGAGTAGTTTTTAACCCAGAAATCATCCTTTAATGGGGTTAAAAGAGGTGTGGAAATTTGTATGGGAAACCAATGAAACCCCGCTATTAAACTTTATAAATAGATATAATTTCTCATCCTGCGATATGTCCGAAGGCACCACCCAGGGCATGCGATGATCTGCGTCCACATGAATCTAGCTCGGCATATTATATGATATACTCTACTATCATCGCCTTGTAATATGTCTGTTATTTCTTCAAGTTTAAAATTCTGAACCAATTTAGGCGAAATTTGGTATGGAAATAGTTTGGGTCTCAGGAAAGGAGATAGGATACTTTCTATGCCAAAAATCACATTTTTAGGGGGTAAAAAGGGAGACGGAAGTTTATATGGAAAACCAATTAGGTTACGCGCTAGTAATCAATATAGATAATCTCTCACCCTGCGATATGTCCGAAGTCCTGGGTCCCGGAACACTGCCCTCGTCGGGATGCCAGGTGTACCAGAATGCTGAGAAGTGTACCAGGGGAGGATCTCGGCGAGGGAAAGGGGGAGAGCGCAACGGCAAAAGAATTGCTGGCAATCAGAGCTAATGCCAGGGAACGAGTCCTGGAGGAGTGGGCGGAACGTCTGGAGTCTCCAACAGCGGGAAAAGGGACGACAGAGGCGCTTAGGCCGGTCCTTCGGGAGTGGGTCGAGGGGGGGAGAGGCACTATTACCTTCCGACTGGTGCCTGAGGAATGTACCTGCACTGAATACAAAAGGAGGAAGAGAGAACTACGCTCTTCTGCCCACTCTCGCGAGAGCAGCGAGTCGACCCTGGGTTCATTGCTTGATATTGCATTTTAGAATCACCGATATGACTTGTACTTTGTCTGTTACCTCTTCAAGTTTAAACCTCTAAACCAATTTAGACGAAATTTGGTATAGAGATAGTTTGAGTCCCGGGAAAGGATATAGGGTAGTTTCTATGCCAAAAATCATATTTTGATGGGGGTAAAAAGGGATACGGAAGTTTTTTATGAGAAACCAATTAAAGCCTGCTATTAACCTGTAGAGAAAGATATAATTTCTCACCCTGCGATATGTCCGAAGGCCTGGGGTCCCGGAACACGACCCAGGGCATGCGATGATCCGCATCCACATGAATCTGGCTCGGCCGCAGCCATCTTGTGGCGGCGCCGCTTTCGCCCGACCCGTTGTAGTATAAAGAACGGCTTGAAGCCGGAAAGGAATCGTCTACGTAAGGCTCGCCACTCTGTAAGCAAAGTTATCTATAATAATAAAAGTAACCGCTTTGTGAGATGTGTATTCGACGATCATTGTCCCTATAGTCGTTAGCGTAAACGGTCTCATAGCGAAGAGTCTCGACCAACATCTAAAGAGCCTCTCGCTAGATGGTTGGGTCAAGGGGCAGATGCAAAAGGCAGTACTCCTGGACACGGCACGCATCGTCAGGCGGTTTCTTTCTCTGCGGCCCTAACCACCGGTAGCTTGGGCCTCGCTCCGCTGCTGGTGGCCTTCTAGGTTAGGTTTTTTATACTATATTTATTTTTGTATTTTACTTTTATATCTATTTTATAAAAAACCTAACTTGTGAAATGAAATAAATGAGAGTATAATAATAATTAATAATAAATCGTTTATTTTCTCTTCACAAACATTTTGGCATCGATAACAATTTTTAAATAGTTCATTACATTAACGTTTGTGTGTGATTGATGCCCGTGCTAGGGTACGATATACCTGTGTTACAGGTCATCAGGCTCCCACCACCTCGAATCGCCAATGTTGGGTAACAAATAACATGAATATGAATATTAATTTAACAAAGTTTACTAATTTTAGTAGACACAGGTTAAACAAAGGGTTTATTTGTATGAAATTCTATACAGTATGTGTGTGTATTAATCTATCAAATCAATCTTTCTCCGTAGAGATCGATCTAAAACTGAACGCCCCTACATTGTCTTACTCTTACATAAACAATTTCAAATACCCTAGATCACATCACTTAGCTCCGTAAGATGACGGCGTACTTAAAAACAATATAAGGTATTACTTTAACATTTGAAGTCACCTTTATTGCATATTGTATAAGGCCGTATACAGAAAGAAAGCCGAAAGCCGATCGGCGCCGACACGCGCTGGTCCGAATAATAAATAATTTGTATTTGAATTATTATCCTTAGATTAAATCAATCTAAGTTATAATCTTTTTATAAAACTAATAACTTTATCTTTTATTAACTAAGCGCTAAAATTATTTGTTTCGTACTTACCGAATGGTGACAACAAGTCTTTCTTCTGGAAGGATTAGTTGTTTATACCAATTGCCCCAATTTTTCATCAAACGGTTTTTCACTAAATCCAAAATGTAATAAAATGTTTCTTGAATCATTCTTGTATATGTGTAAAATCTTTGTTCATCAAATTTAATTTTTTTTACAAATATATGATGGTATTCTCCGAAACGTTTCCTTTCTCTATTTATAGGATGTATAGCTGTTTTTCGCATTTTTAAATAAACATTTTCTAACAAAACCAAATCATCGTCCGATGAGTCCGACATTTTGCTTGATCTGCTTTAATCGGCTTCCTTTATGTAGGAAGGATCGGCGCCGATCGGCTTTCGGCTTTCTTTCTGTATACGGCCTAGGGTCTTAATTATAACGCTAGCGTCAAAGAGTCATGACAGTTAAAATTCCAGCTCGTAAAATCTTAGGATTATTGCTATATGCGGAAGAATATAGACCTTATTTCTTTATCCTTACGCGCAATTCTAAATGCGCTGTTAGCAAAATAGCAGTTCGGACCGCGAGGAAAAGAGACGGCTATATTACCGACCATGCATTTGAATATCACAAATATTTACATTTTTAAATCAGTTTACAGTAGGTATTAGAAATTTACTTCGAATGCGTTATATTAACAAACATTAATTAGATACCTGTCGAAAAAAACAACACTTTACGTACTATAAGTATTTTTTCGCATTTTTTCACGGAACTCTGCGGCATGTTGACTTTTCAACGGTCCGCGCGTGATTGTGAACCAAGAAGTGCTTGAGTGGCATTCAAGCACTTCTTGATTGGGACACATTTTGCGCGCACGTGGTGTATCTAGGGTATTTATTATGACCATAGAACAAGAAGATATACAGAATAAAATTACGAATATGAATGATAAAATAGCAAACCTCGAAATACAAATAACAGAACTTCAAAACAACCTATCCAAAACTAATAATTCTACAAAGGCTAGTTTTTGTGAAAAAATAGTTCTACATGGGCTACAAGAATATTACAAGGAAACGGAGGAAGATATACGTGATCAAGTAATCCAAATATTCTATAATATATTGAACATTAACCTTGAGGAATACATGGAAGATTTAAAAAGAATCGGAAGGCACGGAAACTGTAGACCGTTAGAAATAGAGCTTCTCAGCAAAAGTTTGGGTAAATATATATTACAGCATAAGAATTATTTTAAGAGTAACAGGATAACAGTGACTGAGTACCTGGAAAAGTCTGAAATAATAAAAAGAAAAGAGCTAATAAAAGTCCTACAACAGGAAAGAAAAAGAGGGAATCATGCAATTATAAGGAGTAACAAACTTTATATTAATGGTATCGAATATTCGCCCAAAGATGATACAAGACAAATCCTGTACAACACACGTGTAAATAACAACACACAAGAACTCTTAATCACTCATAATATACCCGGAGGTCAGGGCTTGATCCTGAACAGTGACCCTAATACTACCGTGGACGACGTACCTGCGCCAGCAAATAAACCGCTAATGAAACAGAAGTTATTTCGAGAACCTTAATTTACTTGTCCAAAATGTGCAAAGTCTCAAGAATAAGCTAGATTTAACGGAGTTCATTTTACACGACCAAAACATTGATATAGTTTGCCTCTCTGAAACATAATTAAGACTAGATCAAAAAGATTATATAAACATTAAAAAATATTGTGTTGCTGCTTCGTATAATAGAACGCTAAGACATGGAGGAGGCGTAGCGATACTGCTCAAGAAGAGCATTTCCTATACAGAAATTAAAGAGATTGCGAACTTATCTGTGGAATTTATAGTTGAGAGTTGTGCTATAGAATTAAAATCAAATATCCTTATCGTAACTATTTATAGAGCGGACCGTGACATAAACGTATTCTTTGATTTCATTGATAAACTTTTGCAAACACTAAAAAATAAAAATAATAAACATTTAATAATAACAGGTGATTTTAACATAAACAAATTAGACAACTCAAATAACTACAAAATACTAATAAATAAATAATAAATAAAATGTTACAATATAATTAACACCAAATTGTTAGTAAACCAACCAGAATTACCGCTACTAGCTCTACTTGTATAGACCTACTATTTACAAATAGGAAAAATTTTGAAGTTTCTGTTGAAGATCTCGGAATATCGGACCACCACGGTTTAATAGGTAAAATCGAAAATTTCCATAAAAATAATAACTTTGCTGTAATTAATAAAAGAATTTTCAATGACATTAATATAAATAAATTTAAACAAGCAGTAGGTAAAATCAATTGGCAAAATTACATTGGTGATATAAACAATAGCGTAAACGATAACTTTAACTTGTTCCATGATAAATTAATAGCAACCCTTGATGAATGTATACCAATAAAGCGATTCAAAAAGAGAATCAATAATGCCAAATCAAGCTGGTTAACAAATGGTATTAGAAAATCGTGCATAAATAAAAGACTTCTAAGATCATTATCAAACAGTTCACGTAATAAAGTTCTTTCAAACCATTACAAATCATAAAAAGTCGTAAAAAATATCAGATTCTTTAGTCTAGGGCAAGCACTACTCAACAGTCGCAGGGGAAGATCTCGAAAGTCCAAAAGCAGTCCAAGTCACATAAAAAAATCATATCTCAGAAAAAAACTCATTACGCCGATTTAAATTTTTGCAATACGCATGCACAAGCAACGATAATGAGAACAACAACAATTCGATGACAACCATGACAGTGACAGTTCTAGTTTTTTGCGTTAGAATCGACAAGAAATCTGCAAATTTTGGTCACTAGGGGCGCTGTAATCGCTTGACCCAAAACTTCTATCAAATACATACCTATTATTAGCTTATATTCACTTTTAAGCTTTTTATTAAACAAATTACAAATGCCGCGTTGTGCAGTTCCTGGTTGTTGTGAGAATACTGCATGCTTACCGACTAAAATATAATTATATATGTTACTTTGAAACGGGCGGTAAAACTGAGCTGATGTTTACATCATGGTATGTATCTGGGGCAGGTGATTGCATCTGGATGTCTTCATTATGATCAGAAAAAACTGCACCAAAATTGAAATTGCGGTCATATGCCTCAAGTCTGCAAAAAACCCAATGTTATACTTCCCATTTTAGCCAGAGGTAACCTAACTAAAATGAGATATCAGACTGATGCAAAAATGATATAGATTTTACTAATGAGCCTGCTAAAAGTTACTGAGATCCATGAACTATTAAAATAACCACGGAAAATGCATCTATGTACCGAGAATGAGCATTATAGCATAATAATAGAAAGAGTACCTATCTATTAGATTAGCTTCTCTGCCTTGCTTCTCCTTTTCAACTCTGTTTTCAGCTGTATTACAGACCATGTTGAATACATTTTCACCACTTATTTAATATTTTTCACAACAAAAAACAAGTTTAAAATATGAAAGCTGCAATATTAGGCTGTGGTTAGGGTCAAGCGTTTGCAGTGCCATCTATGTCAAGCTTTGCGTATACTTCTCCAATGGCGCCATACTCTTTTTGTATTGTGGAGATTATTTATAACGGTTTCAGTATAATATTGAATCCGTCTGTCATGATCATTTTTCTCGGGAACGCGTGGAGGTATCGTGAACTGAAATTCATATCTAATACTCAAGTCAAGTCAAACCCTTGGAGCTATAAAAAAATCAAACTTCTAAGCCATATCAATGAAAAGATACATCCGTTTATGCTGCATATTTCCGCAAAGGAGATGGCTCAAATTGGCCCAAATGCACAAAAATTTGACATACACGGTAATTCTTGGCGTAATTTATAATTTAATTTACGGTCATTAGATTACAACGGACACCTTTGTATAATATATTTACTTTAAAAAGGAATTTTAATTTTACCGGTTTGGAAAACATACGAATCATTTTTTATGGCTATGGGTGTAGTAACATTCAGCCAAAGACTGATCGAAGTTGTTTATATAACATAAAAACAAATCTATTTTGTAAAGATCGATAAAATAAATATTTTTTTTTATTACACTGTGGTATTAATATCCACAACTATATTATCATTTTCACTAGATGCAAATGTGCTCAGACAATTATTATAGATGGTAGGCGACATCATAAAGTCTATTGCCATACATTTTTCGCCAAACACCTCCATAAACACATTATAATCTGTATATATGTTAGACTTTAAGGTATCTATCTATGGGCCTACGTTCCCTGACTATAAATTAATAAATAAATAAAATTATAAGGTGTGATACACTGAAAATCTAAAATATGGTTATCTTAAAAACATAACAAAAATAATGAAGCTACTGAATATATATGGCTATAGAACCTAAATCTCTTAGCTTTCTTTGGTTAACAAGAGTTTAAAAATTCTCTCTGATCTGTGGCTCATTCACAATCATCACACAGTTTCTGTCACAGAGTACCTTACTATAACCGGAAATGACACCTGATTTTAAAAGTTACTCTTATGCATTAACTTTAAAACAGCCAATTATCTGTGTATCTACATGCTCTATATATATATATACCTGAATCTAATCCATAATTTCTGTACTTGGCTTGATTTCCCTAGTTTACTATATAACTTATTTGTTTTTTATTATTTTAATATGTTCAGTGTATATGGTTTATAGAAGTTCTCAGGGGTGTCCGTCAATAATATTCGTTTCTACAGTAATTTATATATAATTTTGAATCTAGGAAACAATTTTTCATGATTGTTGGTCTTTAGGTCAAACATGTATGGAAGCTGAGCAATCTCCTTTTCGAAACTCGCACGGGAATCAAAACCTACAAGGTGCTTCCCGTGAATTTAGAATCTTGAAATTTGGTACGAAGTAACGTCTTATAGTACCGATAAAGGAAAGATTGCGAAAATCGTAAATTTTTAGTAACATCATATAATAAAAAATATTTTTGAAAATTTTAAAGTAGAGGTATTAAATTGAGTTTGTACGGAACTCTCGGTGCGCGAGTCCGCCTCGCACTTGGCCGGTTTTTTTTAATTATACTTACAGCAGTACATTGCGCTAGAACTTCTTGCCACTGTGTCCACGCATGACTCTCTTCCCTCAGTCGCAATATTTCCATAGGGGTGCTCTCTTGACGTTCTCCATCTGAACCTTCCGCTGTAGAAAATAAAGATTATCGTGAATTATCTGTATGCATAATGACTCCTAAGGAGCTCGATGGCGCAGGTGGTTAGCGCGTTCGGCTGCGATCGTTGAAGTTAGGCAACTTTCACAGTGTTCGGTCATTGGATGAGTGACCAAAAATCGTCTATCTCGTGTTCCTCCGTGCTTCGGAAGGCACATAAGCCGTTGTACCGGCTGCATTTGCAGTAGTTAGCACCCGCCAATCCGCAATCTTAGGGAATTCTTCCATCCATAGGGAAGGCCTGTGCCCCAGCACCACATTGCTGCCCACATTAATAGGTTGATGATAATGATGATAAGGGGCCATTCAAGTATTACGTAAGCACTATGGGGGGGCAGGGGGGTCTTTGCATTGCTTATTTTTGATGACATGGGGGAGTGGGGGGTCGAGTTAGTGATTACGTCAGCATCATGGATTCGGGTGTCATGGACTGCTGCTCATGAATTAATAAAAAAAACAGAATACATTAAAGGAAAAATGCATGTAGGTACCAATATTTACGTAAGCACGTGAGGGGGGAGTAAGAGCTTTTCTTACTTTTGCTGACAAGGGGGAGAAGGGGGTTAATAATTGTAATAAATCTGCTTACGTAATACTTGAACGGCCCCTAATGGATCCGATTCTGGCATGATTTTCTAGACCTAAAACTGAATTTCACATTATTAGGTCCTTATCATGCTCTGTATAAAATTAAAAGGTGGCTGCTGCCAACTTTAGTTTTAAAACAGAGGTGTCGATTCTGGCATGATTGCCTAAACCTAAAATTAAATTTGACAGCAGTTTATCCTTGTCTTTCTCTATACAGAATGAAAAGAAGAGACTGATTTGAAATTTAGTTTTAATATATTTTTGTTTCTTAGATTTTCACGCACATCCCTCATTAAATAAAACTAGTTTTTTACGGGTTAATGCACGAAACTTTATTTATTTATTGACGAAATTAAATAAAAAAATTGATTCCGACGACGCAGCCTGTAAAGGTTGCGAAACGTCAATAAATAAATAAAGTTTCGTGCATTAATACCCGTAAAAAACCAGTTTTATTTAATTTACTTTTAAGTTTAGAGAATCATGGCGGAATCGACACCAATATCGTAACAGAATCAGGCCCACTAACTTGACGCAGTGGCGACGCAAATTCAAACTCAAACTCATTTATTGAGTTATTTACAAGCACTCATGACTATCTAAAAGCTACGCCGTCAGTTCGTAAATCTACAGCGTGACACCTAGTACTGAGAAGAACCAGCAAGAAACTCAGCAAGGGCTGTTTCTTTCTCCCTGTATTATGTACAGAATCGTCAAGTAAAAAATTACTTCAGAGATGATTCATGAAGTCACCTTTCTTTACATAATAGGCAGATGATGATAATTGTGGAGCTGGCGAACAAAACGGTATAATTACATAAAATTATTTTTTACAGGAGCTGTATGTATAAAATAAGTTTAAAGTGTGTATAAAAACGTGTCTCCTTAAGATAGATTACTATGCTGTTAAAGATGTCATAAATGACAAGTCACCTTGGGCTTAATATAATAGACTAAGTCGTTTTACTTTGCTAATTTGGTTGAAAATTGTTTAATCGCCACTTCTTAATTTAAAAATAGTACCTAGGTATACTTAACTTTTGTTAATTAATAATATTAATGTGATGGAAGTTGACAGCAACACATGTTTTAAATTTTTGATGTCATCTTTCAATTGACGACACTGTATGAAATAAAACAGGGAGAAAAAAATAGCCCTTGCTGAGTTTCTTGCCGATTCTTCTCAGTACAAGGTCTCCCGCCGTAGATTTACGAAACGATGGCGTAGCGTTTGACTTTCACAAGAGCTTGTAACAGCCTAGACTGAATAAATGAGTTTGAGTTTGAAACTTGTAGTGTTTGTTTTTAAACAGAGCGTGACACTGACACACGTAGGACAGCTGTTTTGTCTATGATGGCGAACCGCTTACGTCAGCGTAGCTGTCAAACTTCATTGATTGGGTTGGTAGCCTTGAGGGAAGAGTCGATTTTCCTATTCGACTAAAATATTCGCCTTGAGACTTATAAAAAAAAAAAAAAAAAAAAAAGTAATCAGGCGGGAATCTCTGTGGGGGCGCGTGGATGAATGGATGGAGTTTGACAGTTGTTGAATTTTGAATAGTCTTTCCCAGATCGATTTGAGTCCTCATTGTCGGGTGCTGTTTTTAATCGATTTTGAATTTTACTCGAAATTGAATTTCCTCGCTGATTTGGGTAGGTATTCCCTTTTTCTCAGCTTACGGCGAGCGTAGGTATATAGTTTTGAGTTTATTCTTCGGTTCGTCTCGAATGCGGCGGCTGTCTGTTTGACTGTGGCCTTTGCCTTCAGTTGAAGTGGGAAACAAATCATAGACACATGTTTGGGAGAGGACGATCCGTCTATCATCTATGAGCAATTGTCAAAACAACTTTTAAAATTTCACAATCTGTTTGTGGTACAGTTAACTTTTCATCTTTTCTTCTGCCCAAAGTATAATAAACGGCATATTACTGTCGTCGAAGTCGTGAGATAGATCCGAAAAGTTTATATCCCGAAGGATATTGGCGGAAAAAGCGCGGAGTCGCTAACCGAACTGAGTTTCGTAGGTATATTGGAGTGGCTTTTTTTTTTCCTACATAATTTGCAAGTTTGGGCTGTGAAAATAACCTTTCTGTTGATATTCTGTATCATAGGTGGACGAACACGAACCTTCGCCAGGCGATTGCAATAATAAGGCGGTAACTTGTGATAGGAAACAAAATACTTACGGATAGTTTCATATTTCGAACGGTAAGCTATCATCTGATCTCATATTTATTCTCCTAGCACTAATTGAACTGCATTATGCACAATATAGTGATTCTTGTCATCAAATATACCTAATCATTCTTGTCAAGTTAGTGAACGTGGAATTGATTTTCTTCAAACCGGGGGGGACGGGCCCCCAGTCCTGTATTGATTCAAATTTTAAAGTGTAAACATTGACCGTGAATATCCCTCACTCCCTCACCCACCACAGATGTGGTAATCTATGTATTTTCCCCATATCTGATCATTTTTTTTCAATGTGAACTTCAGGCTTGTACGTTCCCCTCAAGAAATACTGGAGGACTAACAAGGAGACTTTTGTTCTGTGCACGGACCAGAAGGGGCGCGGGAGTTTATTTGCCAGCCGCTCTCCGGTTTTATGTAGCCCGGCCGTAACAGCGGACAGATTATACACAGCTTAACCTATCATAATCAAGGTATTTCTCTACTAACCCCGGGTGAACGTGAAAAGGAAACAACAGGCGAGGTTGGACCCCGACTTACCCATTTCCATATATTTACATATATCTATATAGCTGGTTATCTCACTGAGAACTAGAATTAACTAAGTTTGTCACCAATATCGATCAAACGAGCCGTAGAACCTCTGAAATCCACTAAATAGCTTATTCAGTATAGTCTATGTGGTATTTGTGGATAAAAAAAATATTAGTAAGTATTATATTGTAAGTACATGGTAAAGTGTTATGAATGTCTGATATTCTTATAATTATAACCTTTCCTGACAACTTGTTGGTTTATATACACATTAACTTTGAACTACTGTATTCAGCTTAGATATTTATAATTAGTGAAACATAGTTATTATATAAATAATAAACATAGTTGGACTTGTTGATTTATATAAGCAATAACTTAAAACTACTGAATTCCTATGCTTTGGTATCTAAAGTGGATAAAATATACTTATAACATTATCTTAATTTTTTTGGTTTTCTTTTATTGTTCCCCCGGTGCTCTGAGTAAGCTAGTAAAGAGCTGTGGAGGGGAATTTAACATCACATGTGGCGCCCGAACAAGTGGAAACAAGGCTTTGTAGCATTTGCTTTGCTCTTTTTTTTGGTCATTAATTGCTCAAAAAAAGGTTGATCGATATTGGTGATTTTTCTTTTTTTTTTAAATTTTCTTTTTTCTCTGAATTATTTGGCTTATATCCAAAGATTTGTTTATCTGGTTATACTGTGTTGTAAACATAATAATTTGTAACATCGGATGATCGATATTGGCTCAAAATTTACAATCAAAAAAAGTCATATTTACTTTTTTATACCCTTATTTAAAGAAAAAAAAAACCCTCTTGTGTACTGATTTTTGGTAGGTTAGTTCACCAACCTCACTTTTTTGAACCTAACAAGAAGAAACCTAACATTGAGAAACCTAATCCTTTAGAACCTAACAATTTTCAACCCTCAGGTGTGAAACCACACTTGTTACAACACTACTATTTTAACTGATATATCTTAACAGGTAGGTGATTTTATTATCATATTAATTACACTTTGTTATTGAACATTTCTTTATTTTGCCACACTAGGAGTAATTTTAACTTACAAAATGGAACAGAGGCCAATCACTTTTAACTTGTTACACAAAGATGAGTTGGAATATGAAGTCAGAATTAGGGGTGCGAAGCCTGTGGACGGGGTGCCTGCTTTAAAGGCACAAGTACGTGCTTTAAATAAAGATTTACCTTCTGATGAAATATTAACTTGTGAAGTAGAGATAGAATCAGAGTTGGATATTATTAGGGAGAAATTAGACAGTTTAGATGATCTTACTTCTCAAACTTCTTCTAGAGCTAGTTCCCTTAAAGCACTGAACAGAATACAATCATTAGCACATCACTTGTTTCATAGACTTAGCCGCTTAGATTCTGATAATGATGACAGCATCGCCTCTCGATTGGAAGCGCTGCAAGAACGTCTAGACAAGTTTCTGGTTAAGTTAGATAACATTATGCACCATTTTAAGAGTAGTTTAACTCAGGTGCCTCCGGAAGAGAATAGCAGAGTCCATGCTGCTTCTGAACGCACTGGGAATGCTTCCCCTGACTCTGGTGCTGCCGTACATAAACTAAACATACGGTTTAATGGGAAAACCTGTGTAAAGGCATTCTTGCAGCGTTTAGAGGAGTTA